AAATCTCCCATTTATATAAAACATGAGAGTCATTTTTTTTAATTTTATTTTGTTATCGCTGAATATGACGATTTTGTTTGCCTGTCCGGTTGTGTTCAGGATACACCGTCGCAATTTTATTTACCATTAAAAATTATTAATTAATAATAATGATAATACAAGAACCTGCTTACACACCCTCTCATTTACTCACTGCTCTCACTCTGTCATATTCGCATCGTAAGGCAACTGCTTTCAACTGGAATGTATTAATTTGAACTGCAATAAGCGATCAGTTGGGCATTGGAGGAGAAGAGGGATAGGACTACGAACACTAGGGTAGGGGAAACACATAGTGCACTAAAGCATACGCTTTTCCATTCACGCCATCATTTGCCACGGAAATTTAATAATAATAATATAATACGTGCGGCGAAATACAAAAAGAAACGTTCTCATGAGTTTACGTTTTCTTGCAACATAAAAGTTTTTAAAGCAAATTTCGCTTTTGTTTTTTCGTTATTATTTTTTTAAGATTTAGATTAAGGTTAAATGGAACAGGAATCAGACATCTCAAACCCGACATTCGGGGGTATCGAAAAAGTGTTATACCGACAAAAGCGAAATCTGAACATGAATTACAGTAATTACGAAATAATCCTCTAATACGATCATTTCGTAGGTAGAAACGCGCGTTTTGTGTGTTTTTTAACTTATAATCATATATTTTATTTTCGCTAGTTCTGCTCTTTCCTTAGTAGTATGTTTCTTGTTCGAGCCATCCTCCGGGATTGCGTCTCAGATAGAAACGTCGTACTTCATCGTAAATAAATATAGCAAGGGAGAACGGTAGAGCGGGCAGCCACCAGACAAACCTGAATTATAATTAAAATTATAAAAATGTGTTCGCAATTTCTTTTTTATTCAACGACTCACTTCAGTGGAAACATCCTAAGTCCCTTGTCCATACCAGGGGTATAAGATAAGAAAGCGGCAAGGGCAGTTTCAAACACAAGTCCAAAATTCAAAGCCCAATTGCGCATTCCTTGATGAATGATTGAATTCCTTCGGGTTTTACAAATGATCAAATCGGCCCACTGCACGATGACAATTGATACGAAAAAGGCGGTGTGGCAAGTGTATTCCAAAGTTTTTCTGTCACGATAAGTCTTAAAACAATAGAGAAAGTTTCAAAGCACTCGAAAACGCAGTACATGTATTAATAAAATAACAATTATAATTAATAAAATATTGCGAAAACGGTTTTATCTAGTAAATGTAGAGGACGTTTATGTAGAATAACAAATGAAATGTATATTTCAGTTTTTTGTAACAACTTACCCACTCTTGTCCATACGAATCCGTTAAATCGTTGATAGCCTTAGAATCCCACTGTTTTCGAATGCCAAACAGTTCAGCTGGCAAAAATCCATTTTCAGCCATAATAACGAAATAAACAAAGAACCCAGCAGCTGCTTGAATCATACCGATTTGACCATAAGCCATAGAAATTAACCTAAAGTGGGTGGGAAAAACCATTTAATTATTTCTTGATTATTTATAAACACCTGTTGAAAACGTATTTTATGCCTTCTTGCTTAAAACACAAATAAAACTTTTTTATTAAATTTTATTCAAATATGTATTTATTTAATGAACCTTTTTGGATAAATTGTTTATGAGTAAAATCTTTTTAGTCATTAATAAATTACCTTAAAAATTTATAAAGGTAATTTTTCCAGGCATAAAATACGCGTATTTGAACACCGATTATTTCAAGCATGCAGTTAAATTAATAGTAAATTTACAAAGCTCTTACTTTAAACGTGCAAAGCTCGGTGACGACTTGTATTGTACAGCGACATAAACCAGGTGATCTTTAATCTGGTTTATATCATATGAATAGACAAAGCCTTTTTACTTCTGCTTGGTGGTTGGAAGGAGTGTGACTGGGGTCGGTAGAAGTCAAGTGTATATTTCTTTGAATATAGTGTTGGTCGATTTATTTAAAAAAACAAATTACGTTTCTTTATAAATAATTCAGTCATCTAAATCCTACATTCAAAAACTTCTGTGTGCAATTTAATTTTGAATAAAAGTAATTTATTATCGTTATCCTTTATTACATTGTTGATTAAATAGAAAATACTTAATATTTTTACTGCTCAAAATCATATTGCACATCTACTAATTGTAAGTAGTGTTTTATCATGCTTAAAGACAAAAGGAGGTAGACTGACTAGATCGTTTTGCTACAAAGTTTTTAATAGGATCGTTTACTACTTGAAGGATACGTCTCTCAATTCCAAAGAAACATACGTACGAATTGGAAAAAATGTGTGAAAGATTAGGTCGATAATATAGTAAAAATGAAGTTAAAATTCAAGGTGTGTTCTATACAACGAGAAAACCAATTGCCTAGTAACGCATGCAGTTGTGTTAAATATTAAAAAATTAGCGCTACTTAAAACCCCAACTTCTGTCTATTCTAGGAACAGGAAAACTAGTGAAAGCGTATTGTGTATTAATAGAGAAATTTTCAATAGTTTGTAAAGCCGGTGCAAAGAAAGAAGGCATGTCAAAAAACTTCTCTAATTACTGTCATCACACCAAACTACCGTCAGCCATGAGATTCTAAAAAAAATGTGGTGTGAAATTTTGTCGTTCTTTTTTTTTTTTGAACTTGACCATTATTGTATTGAATATACATACTCTCAAAAAATAGTTTATATAAAGTTTAATGAATCGATTCCAGTAAGACAACTCACTCATATTTTTAAGACAAATAGTTACAAATAAAATATAAAAACCAGACGTTTCAGATTCTCAAGTTAATTGATTTCCGACGAAACAAATTGCAATAAATAGGAAATAATTTTATTATAAGTAAAAACACAAAACTCTTTTCTCTTATTCTGTTGTGATAAGAAAACTTAGCAATCGAAGCATTCAGAATTTTAGTATTTTGATTGTACTGATAATTCTAAACATATTAGTAAGATATCTCATGGAAACGGATTCATTGTGTTTATCGCCCTTTGAAGACTTCAGAGGGCGCTGAAGGGATGCGTTTAAATTAATGGACAAGTTCATAAACTTCAATTTCCATTTAAACGAAATGAAGTGAATCTTCAGACTAAATGGTTCCATACAGTGACCGTTTGAATTCCTTATAATAGCGTTATAAATTGAACCATGTAATCTAAGAAAAATATATCAAGTAATAGTGGAACGTAGCGAACACAGGCGAATGAATAAGTTGTATAAGGTGCAATGCTTAATTACAAAATAAAAATAAAATGCAAGTTTTCAATAATTCAACAGAAAAGCAAAACTGCCAGTACAAAAGTAAAGAATAAATAAATTGATAGCAGTATTCATCCTTTCAATGAATTACCTTCGTTCCAAAAATAATATCCGTAACGTTTCAATGAATCAAATTTTTAAACAATTTAAAAGTTAAAGAGAAAACGAATTAAGTTTTAATTTTGCTCTTTTTGCAAACGTTTAATAGAGTTTGGTGAATTAACGGAAAAGTAATTTATGAGTGATAATAAAATCGATTATTGATTGAATCTGTACAAGTGATTTATAAATGAATGGAACGGAATGTGATGGCAACTAGTGAAACATACAACAATATCGATAATATTACAAACAGATAAATGAAAATTTAATATAAAAATGCACTAAAGTAAATCTCCCATTTATATAAAACATGAGAAGTACCGAAACTAATGTCAGTTTCTTCTAATACAAATATCAATTTTTACTGTTTAACAAAACGGTGTACACCATTTTTAAATATTTTCACAATAGAAACCTATTATCCATATATTTCATTGATATTATTTAATTGCCCTTAAAAAATAGATATTCGAAGAAAAACACTTAAGGTTTTTGATAAATAAAATTTTGAAAATTAATATGTAATAGTATTTTTAATACGATCATTAATTGCGGTACCCTATTCACGGCAGTTTTATAAAAATTAAAAACCAATCAATTTAAAAATAAAAAAAAAATTTAAACCAATCAATCAATCGGTAGTGTGGTGCGCTAGCCGTCACGACACCATAAATCGCAGTGACCCACCTGCGGTTTACCAGGTTGTCCCTGTAAGGGTCGCGCGGCTGCCTTTTCATTATGTCCGACTCGGGAGCCTCATAGGCCAGAGAAATTGCAGGCACCTACGTTATGGCGCCAAAACACACACCACAACAAACACAACATGTTAAAAAAGTCGGCAGTGGATAAACATTCCAAATTGCAAGACGTTAGTTAAATTCGACGGCTAAACTTTAGAGAATGATGACATGCTAGTCTGTAGTCTGACTGTCAGTATCTCTTTAGTTTGTAAGGTAATGGGTAATATGTAGTTTATTTATTTTTGTTGTGTGTGTGTGTCAGTATGTGAGTAACAAAGATAGAGACAGAGAGAGATAGAAGAAAGGTTATAGAAAAAAATAAATAAAAAGTAAATAATAAAAGAACGTGTAGCTGTTAACGCGTTTTTTAGAAGTGAAATAATTTATACAGAGGATGTGGCTTAAAACTACTGAAAAGAACTTTTATAATAATTTCTCTTTTCGGTTAACTCCCTACCCCTTTTTTTTTCTTATTCAGATTACATATTGTAAAATCGTTTATGTTACGAAAATTCACTTCTAAAAAACGAGAAGAAGATTTAGAAAAAGCCAAGGGATTTGCTTTGTTAATAGAGTAGATAGAGGCCAGAAACCAACTTACCATTTCCTTTATACTTTTCGTGTAAACACCCTTTTTTTTTAACGTTGTTTTGAAATATTTGCTTTTGTTTATAGAATTGAAGTACATAAATTTACTAAACTTACGAGGGCTTACACGAAAATGTTGGGAACTTTCAGGCTTAAGCATAGAGTGCAGAGATATAGTTTTGTATGGATTAGGACAGGCAGGAAAGCAGAAGTTAGCAGACAGAGGTTGACGGTACATACGGCATTATTTTAATATTTTCGACATTTTTGTTTTTATTTAATTCATCGTTATCTTTTAATTTTGTTTTTATATGTCTGCTCCATCAAAAGACGTGTCAGAAGCGAATGCCATTGATTACCTTTCGTTAACTAGTTTATCTGTGAACGGATTTCTAGGGCGACGCTTCATGATATCTGACTCTGCCTCTTCGTAGGCCAGGGAAATGGCAGGGACCTGAGCGCGGCAACAAATTACGTAAAAAAAAAGAAGACTAACAGGTGGGATTTTTAAAAGGAAACAGGAACTAGGAAAAAACATGGCAAACGGGATACGTACGCTTAATCATGCTTACACTGCTTCTTAACCTCGAGAAATTATGTGAACTAGTTCTGTTCTATGTTTCACTAAGTTTTACATTGCATTACGTTCTAAATTCTTTTACTTTAAACAAATTTTAAATAGTAGCATCCAATGGCAAGCCAATTTTTATTAGGTGTCGTTCATAAAATACATCATTCACTATTTCGCCTTTACGGACAACTCCCGCCCCCTTTGGGCCACAAAGCGTCACAATTTCTGCAACCACAATCAAACATTACGCCACAAAAGCTAACCCTCCCCCTACAAATATTAATGAAACGAAAAAATTAAATAAAACTGATGAAGTGCTAACATCACCTTTTTTTGGACCCCCTTCCCCTTGTCACATCTCATCACGCTAAACTACCCCCTTCCCCTGTTTATGAACGACCCCTTATCAAAAATACTTTTTAATTTCGTTAACTAATTTTTATAGCCAGATAATAAGATTTCTCTTCTTTGTTACATTTTATATTAAGGTAACTTTTTCTTAAAATGTTATCTGTAGAAAAATAAAAATTGCTACAGACAAAAGAAAACGTAAATGCAATGCATTTTATACTGAATAAGGAAGACAACCAAAACTTATAAAAAGGATAATATTTATAAATAAAAACGAGCTATCAATTAAAACAGGCAGTGTCAAGCAAGGATACTAATCACGATAGTCATATATAGCGGTGAACGGGATAAGGGAATTATTGGTGTTAGTGTCAACATGTCAACTAAAAAAAATCTACACAACTACAAAAAAATATACATATGTAACATCGATCAACAACTACCGTTTTGTCAAAATTTGATCATACAGGTGTTACTGATCAATATTACAATAAAAATAATAATGTACATGTTAACTGAACTGAAAACAAAAACATAAAATAAATTAATTAAAATGTCCCAAAAGCGTTATGTTACTGCACATCGTATTATATTCAAAAGCCTCCACCTCTTCACACGTTGTTAGACACATAAAATTATTATATAGCACGACCACAAATGTTAGCTCTGATGTACTCTAAAAATGAATAGTCCTCGTCAAAATGTAATTCATCACAAAAAAGACGAAGAGTATCGATTTTTAGTAGTACTCATTAGTATAGACAAGACCCACGTAGAATATATAATATAAAATAAAAAAGTTATACTATTAACCTATCGTTTACGAGTTTGTCGGTGAACGGATTTCTGGGTGGACGCTTCATTATATCAGATTCTGCCTCTTCGTATGCCATTGAAATAGCGGGGACCTGTATCGGTCAATGAGTATGAAAATGGCAATTACATAGTTTAATTTTCAATTTTCATCGTAACAACTCTCTATAATCGACATAAATTAGTACTGCACTTGATAAGTTTACTAAGAGATTATATGTACTGTCCCTGTACAAACGTACGTAAATATATTGTCATAGACATTATATTGATATGCTCTTTATATTCTATAACAATCGCTTAGCTTTTTCCAAGTGCACTAATTAAAAGTGACTAATTAAATAATAATACTATAGCAGAAAATCGTAGAAGAGTACTAGACTTCTGTGCTACTCTGGTATGATAACTAGCATGTTGGAAATCTACTTTCAACTGATAGCATAAAAGGAATAATAATAAATAGGCGTACCTTTTGACGGTTTAATTGTAATCAGTTTATTGTAATGATAAACCAACCTTCGTCTAATGCAGAATTAAATTGTTACTTATCTAGCAAGCGAAATTCATATTGCAAAAAAATCTCACCTCTTTTCGTATGATAAATTATCATGTAAATAGATAAAAGTTTATTGAACGTTTTAAATAAGTTTCTATTCAGCATAGATGTTTTTGCAAATGGAAAGTATTTTAAGATCGTGAATAAAAAAAGGGGAACGTCAGAAATGCATATCGTTCTGTAGAAGTAAAAATACGGAAGCTACCAGATCTAATGCAAGTAACTGGAAGAATTTCCAAAAAGTCTACATGCTTTTGATGTATCAATAAGTTAAATTAGCTTCGCGTACGCCTGTACCTTTCGTTTACTAATTTATCTCCAAAAGGATCTCTTGGACGCCTTTTCATAATATCTGACTCGGCTTTTTCGTAAGCCAAGGAGATTGCAGGGACCTATACAATATCCTAATTATGTTGAGAAGTCTGTACCTTTTTTTAAAGAATGTAGTTTATGTAATTCAAAAAACATTACAATAAGAATTATTTTCGTTAAATTGAAAATAATTTAAATTATCTTTAACCCTCTTATTATTTTTTTTTAACAGTATATAATGGGTAAATGTTTTTCCAATATGTGTATTATATTGTTTTCGGAAAAGGAAATTTTTGTATTATATTGTAAGTTTTCAAAAATAAATAAAACGAATCTTACCATGTCCGTTCCAAGATCAATACAAAGAATGGTGACTGTACCAAGTGGTAGGGGTACGTCGCAGAGAATGAACGCCAAGAAGGGCGATATTTCTGGTATGTTAGACGTCAATGTGTAGGCAATTGATTTTTTCAAGTTATCAAAAATAAGTCGACCCTCTTCTACTCCCGTTACAATGGATGCAAAGTTATCGTCAAGCAGAATCATGTCTGCCGCTTGCTTTGATACATCAGAACCAGCGATACCCATAGCTACCCCTATGTCGGCTTTCTTTAGGGCAGGGGAGTCATTTACACCNATGTACTCTAAAAATGAATAGTCCTCGTCAAAATGTAATTCATCACAAAAAAGACGAAGAGTATCGATTTTTAGTAGTACTCATTAGTATAGACAAGACCCACGTAGAATATATAATATAAAATAAAAAAGTTATACTATTAACCTATCGTTTACGAGTTTGTCGGTGAACGGATTTCTGGGTGGACGCTTCATTATATCAGATTCTGCCTCTTCGTATGCCATTGAAATAGCGGGGACCTGTATCGGTCAATGAGTATGAAAATGGCAATTACATAGTTTAATTTTCAATTTTCATCGTAACAACTCTCTATAATCGACATAAATTAGTACTGCACTTGATAAGTTTACTAAGAGATTATATGTACTGTCCCTGTACAAACGTACGTAAATATATTGTCATAGACATTATATTGATATGCTCTTTATATTCTATAACAATCGCTTAGCTTTTTCCAAGTGCACTAATTAAAAGTGACTAATTAAATAATAATACTATAGCAGAAAATCGTAGAAGAGTACTAGACTTCTGTGCTACTCTGGTATGATAACTAGCATGTTGGAAATCTACTTTCAACTGATAGCATAAAAGGAATAATAATAAATAGGCGTACCTTTTGACGGTTTAATTGTAATCAGTTTATTGTAATGATAAACCAACCTTCGTCTAATGCAGAATTAAATTGTTACTTATCTAGCAAGCGAAATTCATATTGCAAAAAAATCTCACCTCTTTTCGTATGATAAATTATCATGTAAATAGATAAAAGTTTATTGAACGTTTTAAATAAGTTTCTATTCAGCATAGATGTTTTTGCAAATGGAAAGTATTTTAAGATCGTGAATAAAAAAAGGGGAACGTCAGAAATGCATATCGTTCTGTAGAAGTAAAAATACGGAAGCTACCAGATCTAATGCAAGTAACTGGAAGAATTTCCAAAAAGTCTACATGCTTTTGATGTATCAATAAGTTAAATTAGCTTCGCGTACGCCTGTACCTTTCGTTTACTAATTTATCTCCAAAAGGATCTCTTGGACGCCTTTTCATAATATCTGACTCGGCTTTTTCGTAAGCCAAGGAGATTGCAGGGACCTATACAATATCCTAATTATGTTGAGAAGTCTGTACCTTTTTTTAAAGAATGTAGTTTATGTAATTCAAAAAACATTACAATAAGAATTATTTTCGTTAAATTGAAAATAATTTAAATTATCTTTAACCCTCTTATTATTTTTTTTTAACAGTATATAATGGGTAAATGTTTTTCCAATATGTGTATTATATTGTTTTCGGAAAAGGAAATTTTTGTATTATATTGTAAGTTTTCAAAAATAAATAAAACGAATCTTACCATGTCCGTTCCAAGATCAATACAAAGAATGGTGACTGTACCAAGTGGTAGGGGTACGTCGCAGAGAATGAACGCCAAGAAGGGCGATATTTCTGGTATGTTAGACGTCAATGTGTAGGCAATTGATTTTTTCAAGTTATCAAAAATAAGTCGACCCTCTTCTACTCCCGTTACAATGGATGCAAAGTTATCGTCAAGCAGAATCATGTCTGCCGCTTGCTTTGATACATCAGAACCAGCGATACCCATAGCTACCCCTATGTCGGCTTTCTTTAGGGCAGGGGAGTCATTTACACCATCGCCTACATATTATAAAAACGTTTATGAACTGTGTTACTGAGAGTGAGAGAGATAACGAAGACAGAAACATACCTGTCACAGCAACAATGGCCCCCATTCTTTGACATCCTTCGACTATAATCAACTTCTGTTGAGGTGAAGTTCTAGCGAATACAATTTCTGTATGGTACCGTAAGACTTCGTCCAGTTGGTCAGATGATAATTCACGAAGATCAGTTCCGTGAATGACGGCCGCTTTAGCTTCCCGGGGATTCACCTCCGAAACCGGAATATTTAGTCTTTGAGCGATGTCTTCTACCGTTTCATTTCCTTCTGATATAATACCCACAGACTTAGCTATGGCTTTTGCCGTAATTGGATGATCCCCCGTTACCATAATTACCTGTAAAGAATATTTTATTGTTTATCAATCATAGCTGCATTTAGATGTAGTTTCTTTTTACCTTAATTCCGGCACTTCTGCATTTTGCAACTGCATCGGGTACAGCAGCACGAGGTGGATCAATCATAGACATAAGACCTACAAAACGTAGTCCTTCCAATGGAAAATTAGGGTCGTCGCAGTTGAATTTGTAACCGAGGGGATATTTATCGGTCGGCAACAGGAAATCACAGAATCCTAACACGCGTTCGCCCAATCCTCCTAGTTCTAGATAAGCATTATTAAACGCCTCTTTCATTTCCTCGTCTAACACCTAAATGAAAAAGACAAATCGGTTAATTAATTGCTTTTTTGTAATAAACATGATAATTAATATTACTTTTTCTTTTCCACCGATGAATATTGTGTTGCATCGTTCAAGTATTCTCTCTGGGGCACCCTTCATAACCAAAATATGTCGTGGATCATTGGGGTCTTCGTTCTCATGTATCGATACCTGATATTTGTTAGTGGAATTAAATGGTATTTCGCATACTTTCTTATTCTTTCGCCTGATAGTCATTACGTCACCCAGTGCAAGTTCCATACATTTAAGTAAAGCAGCTTCGGATGCATCACCGTTCACTTCGCGTTTCAATATCGGGACTCCATCCTGGCCTGGTTTAAATTCGGCTCGGTTACATAAAGTTGCAATGCGTGCGAGTGCTTTGAAACCGGGACTGGTACGATCGTATTGTACCCCAGATTGGTCTTCAGTTGTGTCGGCCTCTATGATTTGGTTATCGAACCACATGTGAGCAACAGTCATACGATTCTGAGTTAAAGTGCCTGACGAATTACAAAAAAATGTTAACAAAATCAACTAATTCTATACAGCAAACTTACCAGTCTTGTCGGAGCAAATTGTACTTGTAGAACCTAAAGTTTCGACGGCTTCAAGATTCTTAACGAGACAATTTTTGGATGCCATTCTCTTCGCCGTAAGTGTAAGACACACGGTGACCGTGGCCAAAAGACCTTCGGGTACATTGGCGACAATGATACCAATCAGGAAAATGACGGCATCGAGCCAATGATAACCGAGAATGAAAGCAATGATAAAGAAGGTTACACCCAGAAAAACGGCCACGCCTGTGATCAAATGAATGAAATGATGAATTTCCTTAGCAATGGGTGTTTCTCCGGTATCTAAACCAGATGCGAGACCGGCAATTCTTCCCATAACAGTATTGTCACCACAACTAATGACTACTCCCTTAGCAGTACCTTCCACTGCGTTGGTTGAAAAGAAAGCGAGATTTTTGGTTTCCAACGGATTCTCGTGAGTAAATTCGGAACTACGACTCTGGGGTTCAGATTCGCCGGTCAGAGACGAATTATCAACTTTAAATCCACGAGATTCTATGATTCGGATATCAGCAGGAATACGATCACCGAATTTGACCTCGACCACATCGCCGACGACGATGTCTTCAGCGCGTAGGGTGAGTTTCTCGCCCTCTCGAATAACAGTCGCGAATTGCGGCACCATATTCTTAAAAGATTCCATAATCTTGGAGCTTTTACTCTCTTGGTAATATGAGAATATACCTAAAGAAACGAAAGACTTTTTGTGTGCATATTTTTTGAATACGGTTGATATAAAAGCATACCTGTGACGATTACAACTGCAGCCAATACAATACCAAGATATAGGTTATCATCAGCCGGTTCTTCGACTGTACTCGCTTGAATGGAATAAGCAATAAAGCAGAGGACGGCTCCTATCCATAAAAGCAACGAAAAACCTCCAAAAAGATTCTTACAAAACTTCACCCATTCGGGTGTAGTTTTCGGAGGCGTGAGAGCATTGGGGCCATCCCGTTCAAGGTTTTCCTTTGCCTTGGCATGACTGAGACCCTAAAATAAATCGAAAATGTTGTGTAAGTACTATTATATGACACTGAATCAATCTTCGAAATCACTTACATTTTCGGGATGGGTTTGGAATCGTTGATATAGTTCTTCAGGAGAGATCTTGTGATAATCTATATCTAACTCTTGCTTAAGGTCGTCAAGATCTTCCGGTTTTCTGACCTTCTTCACTTTTCTACGTGACTGAAAATAAAATCAAACATATAATTTCAAAAACTCTTGCACTTTCTAAAATATTAATGAAGAAGAAAGCTCTTAAACTATTGCATACTACTGAAAGAATATCCCAATGACCAAAACGTACAATAAAAAGAATTTGAAAATAGTAATAAAAGAATATACAAGAAAACAATGTTTTTAAAAGAGATAAGTTTAAATACGAAAATAGGAATAAAAAGTACCCCTTACCTTGAAATAAACGTGGTGATTTTAAGCATTTAAGGAAGAAATGGCAAATTAATTGAAGATAAGCAGGTAAAGGTAAAACACAATTTATTATATAATAAACAGAAGCATGCAGTTTACGTTGCCTACATATTTGTGCCACCACCACCCGAGAAGATTCGACAGAGATAGTGCTGTGAGGAAAAACAATATAAAAAAAATACCTTGGCTCTGCCATCAGCAGTTTTGTTGTCGTCAATTGATGTCGGATAAGTGGCGACGCGATAGGAATCAGAACGACCATACTGTAAAAAAATCCACACTACTGACTAACAAATTAAATTACATTCAACATGCACGTTTTCGTTTTGTACCTTCCATAATAAAAATTGGAATCAAAGTAAAAGCAACATTAAATGGTAATACCTTTTAAATGTTCTCATAAAACTGACAAAACTTTGGCTTGATTATCTGGTTGAAGATACTAAATGAAATATTGGAAAGATAGTAGGGTACTGTTCATATATTACGTCACACTGTTTTTTGCTAATTTTTGGGCCCTATCCCCCTCTTGCCACATTTCGTCGCAATGGTTTTTATTCCCTCCCCGCTTGTCACATTCCCGCTGTCATTTGTACTTTTTTCTAATGGTTGATTCTATGCAAAAGCCACGTTAGCTCGAGCCCCCTTACCCTATTGTTACATTTCGTCACGCTACCCTAAGACTCTCTCCAACCCAAACACACTGGGTTTCCACGTTAAACAGAATTGATTTAAATGTATACCTATGAAAATGACATCCCTTGGGTCATATAGTTATGAGCATTAATAGTAAATTTAATTAATCGCAAAGGCCAAAAGATCGTAAATGAACTTTAATATCTTTAACAAAACCAAATTAACTTACGAAACATTTGTAAACCTTTTACACCATTAAAATTCCCTTGAAATTTAAGTAGTACTTTCAAACGCAATCTTTAATTTCAAGTACTATGTTTTTGCCACTCTTACTTTGATTGATTTTAACTTATTTTATTTTTGATATAAAATCTTCATCATAAATTAATCGATTTATTTATTTAATATTTCCTATTAAAATATTATATTCTTTTGTAAAGTTACAAAAGCTTTGACATAATACAGATAGTAAACCTGATTGGGTGTATCTCTGTCATCACCATCAAAAAATTTTAATTACAATCGCGAAACGTGTACTCAGTTAATAGGCTAATTTAGGCGTGAAAGATGAATGATTTGTTGCCATGTTACTTAAAATAGCGCAACAACACTGGTCGACCACCACCAGGAAGAATACTTACCTACCTATATTATGCATATATGGATGTATATGATTTTTGTGATATCTATTACATGGCCATCATCAAAAAATCATTATACGTATAGTCAAAACTTTGATATGAACATAATTCAAATTCTAATAAATTATTTTTAACTAACAAATATGTAATAATTTGTCTTGTATTAAAACCGCCTTGAATTTATTTTATTTAATGTAGTATAATAATATCAATAGGAATATTTGTAAAACCTGACAGAATTTTTAGCAGAATTGTATTGATTTTATTTATCGATTAACTTTTTTTTTGAAAAAGAAATAACTTACGAGTAAGGGACGTCATAATTATAAAGTCGTGCAATAGGAATAAAAAGCAAAAAGATTGGCAAAGGTCTTGACGGACGAGCGCCTGATGGGAAAACCACCCCTTTCCGTGTGAGGGGTCGGAAAACTAGGTCGTTCGTGCACTCTTGATACTAGTCGCGCAAATCAATATACCTCTAAGGGAACGGGGCAGGTCACTTTTCCGAAAATACATTAAGATCATCTAGAAAACATCTAATAACAGGCAAAAACACTCTAAAGGCTACATAAATTAAGCAAAACTACTTTTTATACCCTTCTTCTTTGTTTAATTAACAGTAACAAAAAAGGAAATTAAACATTTAATGCAATGTTCGTTCTAAAAGCTTCCCAGAAGAGAGAACCCCTCTGGGCTCGACATACCTCCCCCATTTTGTGTTTATTTTATCGTGGAACTTTCCGAAAAATGGGAAATTCCCGTTTTGGAAAAAAAAACCTCTGCTCCTTTACCGTACGAACACCCGGCTTCTACTATCAGACGACAACCAATCGGTGCAGAAAAGTCGAGCAGGGACTGATTTTATTCCATACCGCGCGGTCGTGGTATTATCGAATGGTGACGTCATACTGCGGCGACTGGCGCCATTACCATGCCAACACGGGAGTAGGGAATAGATATAGTATTGGGGTTCAAATATACCTATAAATAGGTGCCGGGGATTTTCAGGAATTAAATAATTTTCTATTTATTGAAATAAAAAGGGCATCTAATTAAAGATAACTATGTACTAACAACTTAAAGTGTCGAACTTAACAAAAAACATACTAGTAAGACGCTGCTTGGCCCCCCTCCCCCTCCCAAGGTACCATAACGTTTTACAATGCCCCCTCCTTCTTAACTTCTTTACTTAATACCTGAATACTCCCTAATGGACGAGGTTGTTTGTACATATCAAAATATCTTATCTTGTATTAGAGGTCATGAGGTCATTCAAGTGTTATGTAAGGGCAATTTTGAAAGACGTAATTTGCAACATAATTAGTTTTGCCAAAGCCCAGGGCCAAATTTATTTTTCTTGTTTATAAGATGCTTTTTAAGGACTAAATTTGCTAACCCTGACTGTTTTTTGCCATTCTCTTTAATGTAACAGTAGTTTCTTTAAAAGTGCATCTTCCTTAGACAAAGATTGCCTTTTATGAATACTCTCGTATCTTAATTTTGCAATATCTTCGAAAGGGGAAATAAAACACCCTGTACATAATTTACGCTATTATTTTACGACACATAAGAAAATAAAGAGTCAATGACTTTGTAATAGTATTACGCGTTTGAGTATGACGTTGCAACACGAGAAAATTGTTTGGCTGAAAGATAAAATTTAACCAGTTTTGTTCTGGATGAATCCAGTTTTTGCAAGCACGTTCATTGAATTCGCATTTTAAAACAATAATATTTACTACATCCAATACTACGGTATTTACACTACATTTCATTGAACCTACAGCAATATTGAATGCTATTTTGTCGTTGACTCATTCATTACGTAATAAGAAAGAGGAAGACCTTCCCTACTGGTCCCGTATACATTCAACATCAATATCTCTACCTCTCTTAACTCCTGTTTTGCTTCCAAAATGTCTCTAACTAGCCCTTCATGTCTGATAATCTATAAATTTTAAAATATAAGTATTTTAATATTTTTAAACAGAACGAGCCGCAATCGTAATTACCACAATCACAATTTAATTAGCGGACATTTGACCATTTATGCGTATTATCAACGGAAGATTTCTTTATCATAATACCGCAAATCTTATGTTTATGTTGCAATATATTTTTAATTTGTTAAGTTTTCACAAATAGTTGAGGATATGGGATGTTCTCGTTTTAGGGAAATGTGAAGATTAGCTCAGGATAGGAAAGAGTAGAGGTGCCTGTTCAGTCAGTTTTAGGACTAGCGACTTTATGATGATGATGATAAGTTTGTAATTCTACTTGTTTAAGAAAAAAATGTAATAGAGTTCAAAATTTCACCCTCATTTGAGCTTTTTAACGTTTTTATGTAGAATTTCAACTTGAAATTCAATCAAATAAGATAAGATACGGGATTACAAATGAAAAAATATGTCATTTATTTCAAGTATGTTATACGTTATAGTATATTATCTTTGCACCACTATTGGGTAACCAACGTTTATTTATATTCACCTGTAACGTAAGTTTCAGTATCAAGCCAAGATTAGCTTCATGACAAANTTGATTATCTGGTTGAAGATACTAAATGAAATATTGGAAAGATAGTAGGGTACTGTTCATATATTACGTCACACTGTTTTTTGCTAATTTTTGGGCCCTATCCCCCTCTTGCCACATTTCGTCGCAATGGTTTTTATTCCCTCCCCGCTTGTCACATTCCCGCTGTCATTTGTACTTTTTTCTAATGGTTGATTCTATGCAAAAGCCACGTTAGCTCGAGCCCCCTTACCCTATTGTTACATTTCGTCACGCTACCCTAAGACTCTCTCCAACCCAAACACACTGGGTTTCCACGTTAAACAGAATTGATTTAAATGTATACCTATGAAAATGACATCCCTTGGGTCATATAGTTATGAGCATTAATAGTAAATTTAATTAATCGCAAAGGCCAAAAGATCGTAAATGAACTTTAATATCTTTAACAAAACCAAATTAACTTACGAAACATTTGTAAACCTTTTACACCATTAAAATTCCCTTGAAATTTAAGTAGTACTTTCAAACGCAATCTTTAATTTCAAGTACTATGTTTTTGCCACTCTTACTTTGATTGATTTTAACTTATTTTATTTTTGATATAAAATCTTCATCATAAATTAATCGATTTATTTATTTAATATTTCCTATTAAAATATTATATTCTTTTGTAAAGTTACAAAAGCTTTGACATAATACAGATAGTAAACCTGATTGGGTGTATCTCTGTCATCACCATCAAAAAATTTTAATTACAATCGCGAAACGTGTACTCAGTTAATAGGCTAATTTAGGCGTGAAAGATGAATGATTTGTTGCCATGTTACTTAAAATAGCGCAACAACACTGGTCGACCACCACCAGGAAGAATACTTACCTACCTATATTATGCATATATGGATGTATATGATTTTTGTGATATCTATTACATGGCCATCATCAAAAAATCATTATACGTATAGTCAAAACTTTGATATGAACATAATTCAAATTCTAATAAATTATTTTTAACTAACAAATATGTAATAATTTGTCTTGTATTAAAACCGCCTTGAATTTATTTTATTTAATGTAGTATAATAATATCAATAGGAATATTTGTAAAACCTGACAGAATTTTTAGCAGAATTGTATTGATTTTATTTATCGATTAACTTTTTCTTTGAAAAAGAAATAACTTACGAGTAAGGGACGTCATAATTATAAAGTCGTGCAATAGGAATAAAAAGCAAAAAGATTGGCAAAGGTCTTGACGGACGAGCGCCTGATGGGAAAACCACCCCTTTCCGTGTGAGGGGTCGGAAAACTAGGTCGTTCGTGCACTCTTGATACTAGTCGCGCAAATCAATATACCTCTAAGGGAACGGGGCAGGTCACTTTTCCGAAAATACATTAAGATCATCTAGAAAACATCTAATAACAGGCAAAAACACTCTAAAGGCTACATAAATTAAGCAAAACTACTTTTT